CCTGCTGAGGGCATCTACCTAAACAATGTGCCAAGCATTTTAACAAGCATGTAACACAGCTGCAGGCAAGTATGGATAATGTGGAATCAAAAACAGGCTTAATCCTATTCACCTTGCATTCCCTCTGGGAGTGACAAGTGCTTAGAAATCATGACTGAGCTGTCCAAAAAACAAAATGAAACAAAACAACCTGAAGACCACCCTTCCCCCCTCCCCCAACTTCTTCTCTCTCTTTTTTTTTTAAACAACTTAAATGAAGTTGCAAGAGGCAGAAGTACTAGTCTCACCCAGCTGCACCCATTGTTTTTGAGGGGAACAGAGCTCTCTGGAAAAATCTGCCTTGTAGACTGGGCTGGAGTAAAGTTCCTGTGTACTGCCATCCAGGGCACAGCTCAGCGAACAGCATGCCCTGACATTTTGTATTGTGTTCAGAGACTCTGTAGCTGTGCCTGTAGGGCTCAAGTATGGAATGGTGGAGTCTGCATGCGTAATACATATCAGATCAGATTAATCTGAATTGGGATTAAAATAACCCCTCGGTTTTAAGCAGTTAGTGGTCTGGAAATGCTGTAGAACTGGTGCCCACTCTTTAGCCTTTCCCAAAGCCAGACTAGTGGTGGGGGAGGAGTGCATGCAGACCAATAAGCAGATTTTTATCCTGTTTGGACAGGGACATATTTCTCTGTTCCAGGTTGGCCTGGAAACTGGGACTGGCAGGGCTCTGGGTGGCTGGTGTCCTGACGTGCCTACCTGTTGCTTGCAAGCAAAAATGTTGTTTCTGGAGGTGGAGAAAAATTCCTTGTGCCTCGGGCCTTGAAGTCACTCCTATGTTAATGTCTATCCTCAGTCAAGCCAGCAGGCCTCCATGTCTCTGCTGACAGGGTGCAGCCCGTTTATGTCTTTGCCTGTTGGCAGGATTTTGTTTTGGGCATGGCTGGCTGGTGAATTAAGACTGTCTGCTGCCCCTTCTTGGACAACTGTTTAGAGTGGTGGTGGAGGGGCTGTGATTTGGATCACACCATGGTACTGGAGGAGGGGAGAAAAAGGCATGCTGTTGCTTGTTGCTTTCTCTTTTTCCCTGAGCACTTGAGCAGCAATCTATTTTTAATCATGAGTTTCCTGCACTGTTGCTCTACTCAGGTATATTCTGTTCTTACAGGAAGTGGAGCAATGGCCTGTGGTTTGGTCTCTACTTGCTGTCCTGGTGCAGGACAGAGCTGTGAAAAAGCAACAGTTGTCAGCCAGGAAGGACGTTGCTTTCTATCTGGCTGAATATTTGCACTTAATTCTGAAGTGTTGTTGATAGACCACATGATAGCCAGTCTGAGGTGGGGATGTTAGCTATGCTATAAGTTGCAGAGTACTGCAACTGCTCTGATAGATCCCTTGCCTGACTCTCACAGCCTCAAGTTTACACTGCTGTATGATGCATCTGTAACTAGATCCTTTGCCTGCTAAAAGCTACAGTGTAAATGAATCTGTGCTGTCAGGATGCTTAATCTGTAGACCCTCTCTGGGGGTTAACCTCCATAGATAGGGGACCCAAATGTGTGCATCTGCTAAGTCTCCCAAATGCTGTTTTAACTAGGTCAGGAGCCAGCCCTATTTCAGCCCTCCTTATCTTCCCTCTCCCCTCCAATCTTTCCCAGACTTGGCTGGCTTTAGTGTTTGGGGAGTGGAGTTGGAGGCTACAGAAAGCCTGGGATTTAGGGACAGAAAGTACCTACTGGCCTGCCACTGTGGAATTAAGATCTCAGTGCTACAGCAAAGGCTTAACATTCCACAGGGAGACTTCTTAAAGACCTCCCCACCCCCTTCTCCTTTTGAAGCTTTCATCAGAAACAGTGGTCAGTTTCTGTGTCCATTCACAGTGAGTTGGTTTGACATGAGGACTTTTTTTTCAGAGCTAGTGCTATAGGGAGTATAAGTAGCATGGTCATAATCAGCATGAGTTAAGTAAAACAGCTGAATGTTGCCCTAAAACACACAGCTTGATCCCATGTAATGAGATGTGTGGAAAGGCTCTTTCCTTAGCAGCTCTCTTCCTGGACTCTTGTAGCACATTATTTCATGAGGATTGGATGTACCCAAGTGACCTTCTCACACAGCTTGGCAAGATGGAGACACAGGTGGGACGTGACTCTTTCCCAAAGTTTTGAAGTCTGTTTCTAACTCTGCCCCTAAACTCAGGAGTCCTGCTGTAATGGAAAGCACTCGTGCTTCTCTTCAGCCATTCAGTCTACCCATCCCTTTCTTTTGTCCTGGAAAATCCTCTGATCCTTCTTGATACAAGAAAAGCTATGGATGCAGCTCTGAGTCTCAGATGTCTCAATCTAAATGCTTCAGTGGAATGTGAAGATTTTCTCTGTGATCCCATGGAGGCAGGTATTGCCTTCTCTTAAGTCCTAGGTTTCTCAAGGAGCTCTATATGTGGAGCAGTTGCACTAGACAATCACTGACTTCAAGGCAGTGCAAAGAGGCCCTAGTCTTGCAGCTCTGTATTCCCCAGACCAGTCACTATACCACTTTCCCAGGTATGAGGGCAAAGAAATGCCCCAGACTGGGTCTGTTAGCAGTTGAGTTTCAAAGCATTTATAATGTGAACTAGCTTATTGCATGTTAGACTGGACTAACCGTGACTGTGCATGCAGTGGAGAGTTGTGGTTGTTCATGAATTTTGTGACTAATAGCCAAAGAATCAGTATCTTGGTATATACTGTATGTGCCTGCCACAATTGTATTTTTCAAGCTAGATGGCTGAAGGGCCAAGGCATCTTGATCTCTAATGGACCAGAACCACAGCTTCAATCTGTTGCTCAAATCTTGCTTGGAATATGCCCAGCTGTACAGTGTACCTGTCTAGCCTTTTTAGCTCTAACTTCACTTGTGACTCAGTCCTGTTCACATAGAGATTCCAGACAATACTCTGTGAGTCCTTCTGCTGTGGGAAAGGAAGTGTAGCAGCATCCTTGTCTTCCAGCTGCTGGATTCAGCAGTTGCTCTCAGTTGGTACTTGAGTTCCTCTGACTGCTAATTTGTGTTGTATACAGCTGTGGCTGTGTGCACCATTCTGAGATTACTATACGGCACTCCAGAATAATAGCAGTGGGCTTGCTGCCGAGCAGGATAGCATTCTGTGTACAGCACCCCCATGCTAGACGAGTCTTGACAACGTGCTAAACACAAGTCATACTGCTTGAACTACGTACCAATATTGTTGAGCAGTATAACATTTCTCCCCCCACCTCCCCACCCTGTCTGGATGCTACCATACTGGCATAATTTAATCAGTGTAACTATTCCTGTAGAGGATACAGAGTAAGACTCCTTTATACCAGTCCAACAGCAAAACTAGGGGATTGTACTGCTCTGACTTGAATAAAAAGTATTATTCCTTCCTACTTAAATAGTTAAAATGAGGTAGTCTTTGTAGACCAGGTCTTTAATATTAAAAAATCTGGACTAGTGCTACCATAATAGAAAACCGAAGGCCTTTAAGAAGGTCTCATTCCAGATATCCAGGTTTCTTTCCTGCCTAAGAAGGGGTGGAGAGGTGTGTTCACACTAGGGGGGGGAGGGGTCTCTTACCTTTTAAAAAAACAAAAAAACTGTTTTTGTCCAGTAAACTAACTACAGGTGAAAGGCACCAGACCAGCAGCTCTGAGGACTGAGAACTCTACCCAGCTGTTGGTATTGGTGCCCTACCTCCTGTGATGTGCTCCAGCTCAATTTTAAATAGGGCAGTGATTCCCAACCAGTGTGCTGTGGCACAGAAGTGTGCCATCAAAAATGAACAAGTGTGCTGCAGAGTTTTGCCATGGTAATGAGCTACAATAGGTATGAGGATGGGGAATGCCTTAGCAGGTGTGCTGCAAATTTTTTTTATTAATGTAAGTGTGCCTTGGGCTGGAAAAGGTTGGGAAACCCTGAAATAGGGGACCAGTCCCCTAGGACTAAAAGGCTTCAGGCCTGTTCAGTCCTGGGTAATCTGAAGGCTGAAGGGGAAGGAGTAACTGGGAAGTGTATGCAATGTGGGAGCTATCTCTGGTGTCCCAAAGCCCATCTGGCATGTCTAACAGTTGACTGGTTCTCTTGTCTCCTCTCAGACACTACCCGAAGCAGTCCTTCACCATGGTGGCAGACACTCCAGAGAATCTGCGCCTAAAGCAGCAGAGTGAGCTTCAGAGCCAGGTAAATGGTAATGACATGTCTCAGCTAAATTACATTATGCTTTGTACTCCATGCCACCCCCCCCCCCTTAATAACTGACTGATAGCCTGAGGGCTGGAAAGCATTGAAAGAGGGGGTTCCTTGTCAGATATCAAGATTGATCTAGGCTGGCAGTGCCTGTGGTCCACCTAGTTTGACATCTGTCTCCAGTGGTCACCAACAGCTATGTGAGGTGAGAAGCCAGGGTGTCTTACAGCCTGGTATCTTGTGTCATGTCCCTGACGTTCTTGCTGCAGCATCTTCCCATGCTAAGAATCCCCCAACAAATATAATGAGGTGAAATTGCAAGTTGTCTCCTCGGCACAGGTAATTATTTTCCTGAAGTAGCTTCTCTAGCGCAAACCCTGCGGGGCTGGAATCTGTCAAACTGAAACCAAAGAGGGAGAAAGGAAAAGGAAGTGGCTCAGAGCAAGATTCCCCTTTTCAGATAAGTGAATCCTGAAAAATGAGCCTGTGTAGGGCAAGCGTGGCAATCTCCTCCCATTTTAGACCAGGGAGGAAATGGAGTGTGAGAGCAGATGTAATTTATACTGGTATAAGTTGTTCCAATATTACTGCTACATTCTCATGCTCCACTAGCATTGTGGAGAAATACTGTTGTAACTTGTTTTATTGAGGCTAAAGCAAATTAGCTTGCATATATCATTATACGAGCATGTAGACACCAATAACTGAGGCACTTGCTTGACCTGCAACTCCCCCTCCCTTTTTAAAGCCATTGAAAATTATGCCTGTTTACTGCCTGAGTTGGCAGGAGGACCCAGGTCCCGGTTGCATTCTCACACAGGTAACTTTGCGTGATGGAGTAGGAGCTGGCTTTGGCCTTGGACCTTCTAACAGTTAGTGTTGAGCCAAGATGTGATCTCTTCCGTCCTTTTCTGCACAAGTGGAAATGCTTAAAACATAGTTTTCTGAGAAATGGTTTAAGGGCAACATTAGCTTTCAAACAAAGGCTAAGCTATCCCCATTGGTACTACTCCTCACAGCTTGCTCAGGATGTTGCCACACTGCTAAGATGACTTGTGTCAGAGGAGGTGACTTCAGACCCCGGTTCTTTGTTCTTATTTCAGTTGCCTTGGATATCCAGAAGTCCTGTGGCTCTACCTCTTTGAGGCAGTAATACAGGAGACCAGTACCCAGAATACCTAACATGTCAAGGAAAATGCATTCGGGCACTATGTTGTCTTGTGGCAGTCTCATGAGCATGAGAGCACAAGAAGTGACCACTAGGCTCACTAGAGGGGGCAAAAGGCTTCCTTGAAGGCTGCTGTTGATGCAGGCTGGCCTAGTTCTGCTGTGCAGCAGGCAGCTTGGGCTCTCGGAGGAACTGGGTAGCTGCTGTGCTGCACAATATTTGCCCAAATGGTGTGTTCAGGGTGAGAAGCCATTGTTCAGGATTGGAAGGCCCCCTCATCCTGCTGTGCTGTGAAGGGCACAGTGACCTTCCTTTCTTCTCTCCCATTCAGTGGAAAGTACCAGGAGCTAAAAAGCAGTTTGCTGAGAGTGGCTTCCTGGCTAGGGATGGAGATAGGAAAGGTGCTAGGACTTTTGCCCTTTCCCTTCATAAGCAGGAGGCCTAACAGCTGCAGTTCTCAAAACATCTGCTTTTTTTTTTTTTTATAAGGTCCCATTCTTGGTACAAGTTGCTCAACAGCTCCAGGACTTGCACAAATGCTGCTTGGCTCAAGCTGTTGGGGAGTTCTTGGCTACAGCACAGATGTGCTTTGTCTTGGAGCTGCTAGAGGAGGCAGCGCTGCTTCTTCATGGTAATGGGCAGGATAATACTATGCTGAGAGCCTCTGAGTTCCCTGCACAGTATCAGTAAGGCACTTGTGGTGCTCATCTTCCTCATTTTGGAGCAGGGGTGGCCATCCTGTGGCTCTTCAGAAGTTAATATGCATCTCCTTGAATCTTTGCACAAGCGCACAGTTCTTCCATACTCGTCACATCGCATCACCTGACTGCTTGCAGCGAGCACATTACTCAGTTTGGACTTGGAAGTTTGGACTCCAGAGCCCTGGGTTAGCCACCCCTGTTTTAGAGGATCCCCTTTTTTTTTTTTTTGAGACATGGACTGTGGACTGTCCATGACATCTTTACTGGGCACAGACCTGTTCAGGCCCTGTCTGCAACTGACTTCCCACCCCTGCTCCCACTCCTCCCCCACCTCCTTATGGGAGTTCTGCTTGTAGGGATTCTAGAGTAAATGCTGGTCTGTTGAGATGGAAGTGGAAAACATTGTGACTGAAGTGTAGTTTCTCTCCTCCTTGGTCCTTAAAAATACACCCTTGCAGCCTCCCTGGAATGGAGATGCCTTTCTCTAGTCCCGATCTGGCAGCACTCCCAAGCATGAAGCAGTGATCTGTGAAGGAGAACCCACTCCATTTGTGACAGCAGAGCCAGTTGTGTTTTCACAGCAGCATACTTGGCCGTGTGACAGGCAGGACTCTGCAGTCTGAGCCCTGACTCACCAGCCCAGGCTGCCCCATGTGAGGTCAATGGTGGTCCAAGGTACAGCCCCTGGTGATTTTAAAGAGAGCTCTTGTAGCCAGGGGACTCAGTACTGGGGGTGGTTTAAGCCACTGGAGGGGTAGTTTTGTGGAAATGTCTAGGAACCTTGTGTCTTTTAAATCCTAGCAGAGTCTAACCTGAGAGAAACCAAGTCTCATGCACCTTACCACAGCATCTTGGACCTTAACAAAGAACCTCTTCTCCTGGGATCCCTTGTCTGCCCAACACCCATCATAAGAACAAAAGCTTTCCCCAGAACACTCAGACCCTCCCTACTTCTGTGCAGTCTTCTCTATATTACCAGCATCCCTTCTCCCCTGAGGAGGCTGTGTTTTTTTTTTTGTGAAGCTTTGTGCTTATAAGCTGTAAAGTATCTTCACAAACTCCAGAATGAATTCTGCTGTGGAAGCATTTGATGCTGCTTTTCCTTCCTGCCCATCCCCTTTTGAGGGCAGCATTGTTATGTGGCATGGCAAGGGGGTAGGAGACCAGCTGGGTGCCAGCTTTGCTGGTATGCTGCCTACTTTATGCTGAATAACTGAACCCCAGGATACTTGTTTCATTCCTCTAGGAGGCTGGCATGAAAGCCTGCCTCATCCCACTTCCTTCTTAATCTGAAGCTGCAGGAAATCTTGTTTTGACCCAGACATCTGTGCTTGATTGGAACGGCTGCCCAGGTACAAAAGAGATGAAAGGGCCAATACCCCAAACAGCAGTAGCTTAGGGGAGGAGAGAATCTCACTGGAGCAGGATCCCACTCTCCTCTGGCCCTCGCAAATTGCCTAATGGTTCAGAAGGTTCCCCTTGCCTGAGTGGTGCATGCAGAGCCCATCCAGGGAAGGGATTTCTTCTGAACTGATGTAGAACAAGCATTTAAGAAGACTCCCAGACACTCGGAAAATACTAAATTTTATGCCTTGCTTCACCTACTCTACATCCCACCATTTTCCAGGGTGGAACAAGGTAGCTGTTAACAGTGCAGAACAACATTGCACAGCAGTTCTTGGTGGGCAACAAAGGCCAGTGGAAATATCTTGGGGGAGTGCAGAATGTACCAGTAGAGATTTAACCTGGAGAAGGAAGAATTGTCTAGTACCTAGCCTGGCACATGAAGACCTGGTCTGATTCTCTAGTATCCTCTTCTGACACTTTAGCAAGTCACTTAATCTGCTCTCTGCTTTGTTGCTCATCTGTACAATGGGCAAAATCCTTCTTTTCCTCCTAGGTGCACAGTGCTGTGCTAAGGGCAGATGTATAAATAGCCTAGTTTAGATGCACAGGTTAACTCATTCATTCCTGTACAGGTCAATAAAGTCCTTAATGACAAACAAGTTGGGGGACTAAAGGGCCCCTAAAATTGGGCACCCAAGTCTTGGTGGTCTGGCTTTTCAGACTTTACATGTAGGCACTCTGAAGCCACTAAATACTACCTAAAATCCTGTCCCCATCTCTCTCATGAAAGGCTCTTCTTCCCTGAAATCACCTTTTTAGAAAGGGTTTTCCTATCCTTAGTTAAGAGAGTTTGTTCAATGAACTGGTATACTGTCAATGAGACAGTATAGTTCAGTGGTAGTCTTAATGTTCAATGAGACCACCCCTATACTGTCAAGATTTCCTCTGAGATCTCTAATTGGTTGTGAAATGTAGGTATGATCAGTATGTCAGACTTAAGGATTCCACCTGTGAGCACTAATACCAAGCCAGAGTGATACCAAGATATCATTTTTCTGAGCCAAAGGGAGGAGAAACTGGTCTTAAGGAGGTGTTGGCAGATCAGATTACAATGGAGACTTGCTGCAGCCAGGAGAGCATAGGAGAAGAGGGTTAGGGACAGGTGAGGAAGTGAAGGGAAGTAGAACAGTTGAATTGGACAGAAACTGCCCTCCCCATCCCTCCACAATCATAAAATCACTATAGGCTTTCAGGGAAGAAGGACCCTGAACATACTTGTGATTTTAAGATCTTAATTCCTCTCTGCCTTTATTCTGCTTACGCAGGGAGGCTCCTATTTTCCAAACACATGCTTGTGTCTTGGACTATTTTAATTGGCAGGTGCTCTTTTCTCACTAACGTTCCCTCTAAAGACATGAGTAGCTGCATAAGTTGTCTAGAGTATAGAATATCCTCTAGGGCTTGGATTGTGAACCCTGCCACCTGCTTCAGTTCCCTTTTAGTCTTTGTAGTCTTGGAGGTATAAATAGCAAGGTTAGACCAAAATTTAGGAAGGGTTTCCTGGAATAGCTGTGCTGTGCCCTAGCCATGGCTGCCACTAGCAAGAGTGCACTAGGGTGCCAGCCAATATAAATGTTACAAAATTGCACATTTTACCAGCCAAAGCTTTTAGATGTAGTCCTGGCTTTAGGAAGATTTGAGACTTGCCCTGTGAAGTAGTGTCTTCCTTTTTCCTGATCACTGCGCAGGGCTCCCAGGTTAAAGTCCTAACCAAGGCT